GTCCTAACTGAACCTAGTTAGATATTTTATAATCGTGGAGACTGCCTTATGGTATCCGCGAGAGAGGGTTTCCATCCAGCTGTCTGCGTAACTGGTGGTGTATACACTGTTTAGGAATAGATTTTGATCTTGTATGTTTGGTGTATACTGTACTTTAAAAATTTTAAATTCTGGTATAATAGCTGTAACACAGATGTTAAACCATCTTAACCATGTTTAACTGTATAGTTCATTATTGTTAAGTACATTGACATTGTTGTACAGCCAAGCTCCTTTTAGTGTATCTATTGTAGGGCATATATTGTAGTTTTTAAAAAGATTTTTAAGAGCAGACTGGGGGGACTTTTGTTATGATTGGCTTTTGAGTATAGACATTGTCAGCATTGGTCACTTAAGTTAAATATGCATTGTTTCACCGCATCCTCAGTCTACCCCAGAGGTTCCTCCAATCTAGATGGGAGTCAGAAATCATGCAGGTGATTTAAAATACATACAGACTCCTGGGCTGCACCCCGGGCCCCCGAACCAAAATCTCCCAGGCCGTGGAGATCTGTATCTTTAAAAAGTCCTTGTCAACAGCAAGCAGCCCACCTCTGGCCCCGACTTGCATCTGATGGTGCAGTCTGCAAGGCCGGATTTTAGATGTGGTCAGGCAGATCTGGGGCAGCCTTGTCCGTCTCTTTGCACCAGTCACCAGGGTAACCGTTCAGGGTTTCAGAGATGTTGGGGGATTTGGATATCTCTGCCCTGCTGCTGAGGAGAAGTAAGTAAGGCCCTTGTCTCCTGTGTCTCCTGAACAGTTTTATCCAAGCTGTGCTTGTGATACTGCCTGTCTTCTTGTACTTGTTTGCCTACAAAGAGTACCTCACCTGCCTCGTGCTGGCCATGGCCCTGGGCTGGGCGAACATGCTCTACTACACGCAGGGGTTCCAGTCCATGGGCATGTACAGCGTCATGATCCAGAAGGTGTGTTGGGGCTGCCGGGTGTCAGAGATGGGCAGGGAGGGCCCTCAGAGAAGACCCATTTTTCAGATGGGGAAACTGAGGTCTGGCAAAGCAAAGAAGCCCGCCCAAGGGACAGGCCACTGATTTTTCTCCCAAATGCCATGGCCTCCCTTCCCCTTTGATCAGGCTGTCTCAGGGAGGAAAATATATATGTATTCTCTATATTATATATGTAGATATGTTTATTATAAATTTTACCATATAAAGAATGTGTAGCACACAAATTACAAATAG